TGAAAAGTCAATTTTTAATTTTACGCAAAATGCGATATCCGCCGTACTATTCGGTCATGTTTCTCCCTATCTTTCCAAACCGGGACAAACACCAGTCTCCCTTCTCTGCAGAATGCGATACATCCGCTCAACCAATCACAGTGCACCATTCCACGCATTGTAAACAGTAACTGACAAGCTACGCAATATCGCATTCATATCGCAGATGAATCGTATTAAATGCCGCTCCATCTGAAAGCATGTGATGGAGATTTACTACTAATCACAGAACCGGCTTTACTGACGAGATGCGGATGACAATCGCATGCGATTTATCATGCAGCCCCAAAAAAATATATAATAATTTTTACGGCATTGATGAACCTGTGGTGGTTTCTGCAGTGGGAAAAATTGTAAGCTATTAATAAGATTAGTATTGACCAAGTTCAGAGGCTGTCATATGTGGATCAACTTACTTTGTTGTGTATTTTCAACAGCTTCAATATGAAAAATAACTTTTATATTGATTCAATGGATTTAATGCATTTTGGGAAAAAATAATCTGTTTTTATAATACATTTAAAAAAATCAAAATCTGGATTTGAATTTTTTATGTTATTATAACCTAAAGATGCTATGTGAACGTTTTAAACAGAAAATAGTGGTTTTCATCTTGCCACTTTCTTGGTAAAGAAAACACATTTTTACTCAAATTAATCAAAATGGATTTATAGCGTTTTGGAACCAAACTCTTCATATATATATGAAGTGGTTACAGGGGAATTAGGAAGGGGAAGATAAGGGCAGATGTAAAAAGGAAATGAAGGAAATGAGTAGATACTGAAGTATCACTCTGATCCGGACGAAGCGCTGACGCCTTGCCTGGATCACATCCCTTAGGTCTTGCCTACCTCCCTTTGACCCGCGATTCCTCCTACCCCTACCCGCAGGCGGGGGAGGAGCGCGAGCCGCGACACTAGCCTTCTGTGCCCGTCTCTGATCCTCAAACCGAGATGGGCCAGGACCCCTGGGTTGTTCGGGCTCAGACCTGGACCTTCGTGGAATGAAGGATTTGAAGGCCGCTGAGCTCGCCTTCGCCTCCCTGAACTTCTCGACCACCGTCTCAACAGAGATACCAAAAAGTTTGGAAGGCGAAACCGGAGCATCGAGAAGAAAGCCCCTCTCTTTCTTCCCGATATTGCCAGGTTCACCCACAGATGTCTCTCCGTCACTACCATAGCCGCCATGGACCTGCCCATAGCAGAGGCGGTTTGATTAGTAGCACGGAGAGCGAGATCCGTGGTGCGGCGCAACTCAGCTACCTCATCAGGAGAAAGGCCCTCGCCTTTATCCAGGTCTTTCAGCAGGTCAGCCTGATATGCCTGGAGCACCACCATCGTGTGCAATGAAGCGACCTGCTGCTGCTGCGTATGCCCTGCCATTCAAGCGAGATGTATCCTGAAGGGGCTTAGATGGCCAGGAGGGAGTCTTAAGAGAGGACGTCTCACCCATACAGCGATAGCTGGCCAGAGTCTCTCTATAGGGGGCATCTTCTCATAGCCGTTTTCGCGCATCGCCTCGATGTTGGCATATCTCGTATGCTGGAATCGATGGGCGCGTGAGGAAAACGGCCTCTTCCATTCCTTCTCGATCTCTGTATGGAGATAAGGAAGAAAGGAAGGCTCACCTGAGCTGGAGGGTTATGGCCAGAAAGATAACGTTCATCGAGATCCATAACTTCCAAAAGTAAGGAAATAACTTCCATCATACGCAGGGCAGGAGTATTGGGAAGGCTCAGCCTCAGCTTCTTCGCCCTCCTCAGACATTTCCTGCTCTTCCTGGGCTGAACTCAGCAGAGCACTGGCCCCTGGATCAGACGATGTTAATGAAATAACATCATCCTCCAGCGGCTCACTCTCGTCCACAGCCAATAATCGCGAGAGGGAAAACCCCTCTTTAAACTCATCGGCCAGATCCACCTGCGATCTCCACAAGCTCATTCAACTCCGTGCCTCAGCAGCGGAGGGTCCTGAATCGCGGGAAGCAGATAGCTCATTGATCTCCGTGCCTCAGCAGCGGAGGGTCCTGAATCGCGGGAAGCAGATGGCTGCCCCTCTTTCCTCGAAGAAAGGGGCAATTGAGAGCGGAGCTTTTTCATTGGAAAACGCTTGCAGTGCACGCCGATTGCCCCCTCAAGGACATCGCGTGCGTGCTCTTCGCCCAAACAAACAACGCATAGATCGTGTGTGTCATCAGATGTCAAATAACGACGACACGGATGCACACATCCTGTAAACACTTTGCTAGTTCCACAGAAATGCACGCTTCAAACAAAACAGTCAGTGAAGACGAAGAAGAGGATGATGTGTTCTCCCGGCGCCTATTTATACTATAGTCGCACCGGTAGTGACGTCATGGCTGTCGCCGGCCAACGTGTTGTTGGTGTTTTTTCAATGTATGCTTCAGACACGGGTCACGACGAGGCGTTCCCCCCATAGCGACCCCTAGAGGACGCAATCATAAAAGCACCTGTGCTTCACATGCTCCAGCACCTCCATCAGTTATTGCTTGCTTGCTCACAGCTGTCTTAAGGGCTCAGAGCTACGACTGCTCTCATAGAACCCATCATACCATCTTGATTCTGACTCAGGAGGCCCAACTGATTCTCTATTGCTCATAACGCTCCCTGAAGGTCGATTGCAGTCCATAAGCTTCTTTCACTGTACTTGAAAATTACTGGGCATTGGAATAAATGTGGAGAGGGGGCCTGTTAATAGTTGACTCTCCCCTCTGATGCTTATATTCACTTGCTTGCCATAATAAATCAGTTTAAGTTAATTACTTACAAAAGGATACTCCGTCTCAGATATATATGACTTTCTTTCTTCAGATGAACACAGTAAGATTTTTAGTCCATATAATGCAAGTGTACAAAGTTAACATGATGTTCAAGTTGAAAACATTAGTGTTTTTCTCACAAACGCCTATCATTTCACTTCAGAAGACATTGATTCATCAGCTGGGGTCTCTGTACTTTCACTTGAGTCTAATTTTTGAGTACGTTTTACACCCCTGTATGAGTGAGAGATCAAATGAGTATGCGGTTATCTGCGTCTGTTAGAGCTTTCATTCTCTAGTACAGTCAGGGGCGGACTTAACCAATAAGCAAGGTAAGCGGCTGCTTAGGGCCCCGGGGCATCAGGGGGCCCCATCTGATATTGGCGAAAAATATTTGGCAAACGTTCCAGTGTGTATTTGTGTTCTGGAGAGCATCAAATTTTCATAAGTTGTGAAGAGGTAAATAAACTATAAACTATGAGAAAGAGAGAGAGAGAGAGCGCGCAAAATAAGGGTTAGGCGTAAAAGAGCATGCTTAGTTATTGTGTTGGGGCCTCATACCTGACATTTGCTTAGGGCCCCCAAATCACTAAATCCGCCCCTGAGTACAGTCATAAATTCATGGAAATAAATCAGTTTGGCATATCTGTCTCTGCTGATGAAAGCGATATCTTTAAACAACTACATTCTCGCCTAAAAACTACATTCTCTGACACAACAACAGTAATATTTGTAAAATGAGTGTATGTTTCGCTCATCTGCTGTGACGCTCACGCCTGTTTCACACATACTCCGTCTGCAGTGCGAATGCAGTCCATGTGCGTTACGTCTGTGGTGCAGAAGCAGCACGGATTCATTGTGCTTTCACACAGGACACGTTTGCAGTCCGCTACTGATCCGCGGCTACTTAACACAAACACAACATTTATCCATTATATTGATTTATATTGATTTCAAATCCAAACATTGTTACTGAAAATGATTTTTCAGCATTTTAAGGCTCTTTTTACACAGTACAGTAATACAATCTTTCATAGACGTAGCACATTTAAACGCAATAAATATAAACGTATTATTCAATGCGGTTTTACTTATAGATATATATATATATTAAGTTACTCAAGCAAGTATAATATAGCCTATAGTCTACTTTCCTTACGTTTAAAGGTAGTAGGCTATCACAAACATTTTAGTACTACATTTCCGTGTCAATCCTTGTTAATTTTTTTACCGCGAACAATGTGCTGTTTAATTCAGAGCGTGCAGCACAGCAAAAATAGACTTGGTGCTGCAGACGCACAGTAAGTTAACATGGGCGCGGAAATAAATATGCTCTGCATACGTACTGCAAACGGAGTATGTTTGAACCTGGCGTCACTGTGAGGAATAATGCAGTGATACAAAGGCAAGGCAAGGCAAGGCAAGTTTATTTGTATAGCACATTTCATACACAATGGTAATTCAAAGTGCTTTACATAAAATAAAATAAAAACAATAATCACAACAATAAAACAAGGAATTTAAAACTTTGAAAATTATTTTTTAAAAAATTTGATTTAAGAGGTTTAAAATGAATTTAAGAAAACGATTATACATATAATATAGTGCAATCAGTTCGGACATCGCACAGTGCTCATTCAATAAATGCACAGCTAAACAGATGAGTTTTGAGTCTGCATTTAAATGTGACTAATGTTTTAGCACATCTGATCTCTTCTGGAAGCTGATTCCAGCCCAGGACCAGAATGAACTGTGTGTGGGAAGCAGTGATTTCTTTAATTAACTGGGTATGATATCAAATTTATTAATTTATCATAGATGAGAAAGAAGAAACACAACAGCAGGTGTTGATTTAAAAGTAAGGCTTTATCGAGCTGTTTTTTAAATAAATATAAAAGTACAGTGTGTTCATGTCTGTCCGCTGAATGTGACCCACAATCTCTGATTCTCTTCTGTGGCTATGGAAAAATTTATATTTACAATGACAACAATCATACTTCGTCACTGAAACGTATTCAACAAAGAAAGCTTGTTGAACACACACTTTTATTTGGATATTCTGCCATATGACGCTGAAGCAGCAGCGAGCGTCCAGCGGGAGACACTGTTTTCACTGTAATCAAATTAACATTGTAAACAAAACTCTACAAAACTTGAGTGAAAACATCTAATTATCATGCGATGATCCTCCCTGAATGGTGGTGGCGCCCCAGCATGCAATGCGGCATGATGTAGCTTCACAATCTCTATAGAAGAGCTCTTTTCATTCGTTTTCTCCTGATTATTTTCATTTGCATTTTGCTCTTCTTCTTTTTTTCATCTCATGAATAATTCACTGAATGCTCTAAGAATCTCTGTTTTTTCTCCTCAAATCTTCACGTCTCTTTCCAGGTTTGTTTTCATCAGATGCTTTTAAAATGTATTTGTCTCTTTTTAATTTCTGATCTCTGTTATCAGTGTTTACTGGAATGTTTCTAAAGCAGGGAAATACAATATCTGTTATCTGTCAAAATGATGGAAATCATGAACATTTCTGATTCAGATGTATTTTTGATAGTACAGACAAATATTACTGTGTTGATTTCGTGGTCTGGTTTGAGACTCAAACACGCGTCTCACCGCTGTGTTTCTTCAAGCTCTTGTGAAGTTCAGGAAGAGATTTTATTGCTGCAGAGTCTCTGCGCTTTAAACCAATTCAGTCTCTGAGAAACACCTGAAAATAAAGAAAAAATTAAAGAAAAAGATAAAACCATAAAAATCCCACAGACCAAGGGTCTTCAACTAAAGCTGCTTGAGGTCCAGTAATGAATCCTCCTCACCAGCCGAGGTCCGGACAGTTATATAGGCCTACCTAAAACATAAATTGGTGTTTTTTGGTATCTGCAGGATATTTAAGCTCATATTTAAGACTTTTTAAGACCTGCACAAATAAAATTAAAATGTTCAGACACAAATTTTCACAAAAACAAAAAGGTTTTTGGAATGATTAACTTCACATTTCAGCCTTTAAACCATTTGTTTAAGGAAATGGAGGCAAAAGTATCAATTATTAGGCTATATTAATTTAAATAATTATTATCAATTATAGCCTATTAATTAAATTATTAATTAATTAAATACATAAATATATTTTACTGTCTGAATGTTTTAAATTTTTATAATGCATTAGCTTCTTGTCGATCCACCAGTTCACATTTACAACTCTACGTGTTTGCATAAAAACATGGGTTGATTTTCACATTGGTCTGAACAACAACAGCGGATGGGCTTAATAAAAATGCACATTCATCCTCTGCCAGCAGGAGGCGCTTTTGGAACAGCAGAAACACAGCTGTTTCTCTGGTAACGCAGCGCAGCAGCTGACTCTGAAACGTGCAGCACTCATATTCAATGAAATCAGAGGCTTTTGAAGTTTAATCATCATATTAAGCCGTATCGCAGTTCTCATCTTACCATCCCCACATTTAAGATCTCCTAAAAATCCTTATTAAGACTTTCTTGTACTATTTAAGACTTTTAATGCCTTTAAATGACTTTTTAAGGACTTTTCACTCACTGAAAGTTTCATCTGTCTCGCCGCTCTCTGCTCTCTTCACTGCACGCCTGACCGTAGCAACTGTTAACTGTAGTAACAACCCGTGGTGCTATAGGACCGCTGACAGCTCTACTGAGCTGACCTTGATGTGCTTAATATACATTTCGTTAATATACAATAAATATTACGTTTATTTATTTCATTATGTCAAAAGGCTTCGCCAGCTGCTGACCACTGATAAAAATCCCACAGACTTACATTGACGGAATGTTCAGATGAGCCACGACTATTCAAACTCTGACAAAATTCAAATCTAAACTCCCAGAATCCCTTGAGACTCAATCAAGCCTAGAACATGCTAAATCATTCCAAAACATGCTAGCAATGTGATGATAACACTAACAACTGCATAGCGAGACACTAGCAAACCACCCTGTGTGCCCTAGCAACTGCATAGCAACCACCCAGAACATGTTATCAACAGCATAGCAACCACCCCAAATACCTTAGCAACCACTCATTTAAACTTAATTTCTGTCTAATATTTTTTAAATCTATCAAACTAAAACTTGTGCTCACTGACTGAATGTGTGTGTTTTCTAGTGTGGATCATGGAGGAGAATCCAGAATTACAGCAGGACTAAAGAAATGTACGTCTACACACACACACACACTCTCTCTCTCTCTCTTACACACACACACACACACACACACACTCTCTCTCTCTCTCTTACACACACACACACACACACACACACTCTCTCTCTCTCTCTTACACACACACACACACACACACACACTCTCTCTCTCTCTCTTACACACACACACACACACACACACACTCTCTCTCTCTCTCTTACACACACACACACACACACACACACTCTCTCTCTCTCTCTTACACACACACACACACACACACACACTCTCTCTCTCTCTCTTACACACACACACACACACACACACACTCTCTCTCTCTCTCTTACACACACACACACACACACACACACTCTCTCTCTCTCTCTTACACACACACACACACACACACACACTCTCTCTCTCTCTCTTACACACACACACACACACACACACACTCTCTCTCTCTCTCTTACACACACACACACACACACACACACTCTCTCTCTCTCTCTTACACACACACACACACACACACACACTCTCTCTCTCACACACACTCTCTCTCACACACATACACACACACTCTCTCTCTCTCTCTTACACACACACACACACACGCACACACTCATATATAAAACACACACACACACACACACACACTCATATATAAAACACACACACACACTCATATATAAAACACACACACACACACTCATATATAAAACACACACACACAGCTGTAGTGATTGTTATTTTTTATAAATGTCTCTGTTCTTGTGTTCAGATGCCTGTTTTCTCACACTGGATCCAAACACAGCACACACTCGTCTCAGTCTGTCTGAGGAGAACAGAAAGGTGACAGGTGCGGAAGAGGATCAGCCGTATCCTGATCATCCAGACAGATTTGATCGTGTGCTTCAGCTGTTGTGTAGAGAGAGTGTGTGTGGACGCTGTTACTGGGAGATTGAGTGCAGTGGAGATGTGTCTATATCAGTGTCATATAAGAGCATCAGCTGGAAGGGAGACGGTGATGAGTGTTGGTTTGGATCTAATGATCAGTCCTGGAGTTTGATCTGCTCTCCCTTCAGTTACTCATTCAGACACAATAGCAAACACACTGCTCTCCCTGTGAAGCCCATCAGCAGGAGAATAGGACTGTATGATGATGATGATGATGATAACAGTAGAATAGGAGTGTTTGTGGATCACAGTGCAGGAACTCTGTCCTTCTACAGCATCTCTGACACAATGAGCCTCATCCACACAGTCCAGACCACATTCACTCAGCCGCTCTATCCTGGGTTTTATGTTTTTATTGGGTCAACAGTGAAACTGATTTGATGTATCAGAATAGATTGATGAATTATTATACCCATAATTCTTTGAGCTACATGATAAATCAGTAACTGTAATAAATCCTCATATAGATAGTAAAATCAGTGTGTGTGTGTGTGAGTGAGAGTGTGTGTGTGTGTGTGTGAGAGAGAGAGAGAGAGTGTGTGTGTGTGTGTGAGTGAGCGTGAGTGTGTGAGTGCGTGAGCGAGCGTGCGTGAGAGAGAGAGTGTGTGTGTGTGTGTGTGTGTGAGAG